AAAACTACAATATAATTATTTTCTTTAAAAAAATCGAGAAAAACACTAGCATTCTAGAAAGTGCCTTTCCGTCGCCTACCGACTACAGCAAAATTTCAATTGTTGTTAACTGACAAAACTACCCCTTGCCGATGTTCATTTTGTAATTTAAAGAAACCAAGAGACTTATTTTGTTATAATTAAAATCCAGCGACATATAAATAAAGAAATGCTTGGCCAGCCTGACATTACAGTGAGCTTGACGGTATTTCACATCGCAATCGGGTGTGGGAAAGCAGGCTCCGTATCTGGGACAAAGCCTTCTCCCTGGTAGGCTCCTAAATAGAGTTTTGACTTCAAATCTCTTCTAACTGAAATTTCATTGTTTAGTTTTATTTCTGTAAAATTTCGAGTCTTTTCGATGATCGGCTTCCACTATCTGCCTTTTGTCATTCTCTTTTGGGATCCCTTTCTTCTTGATCCTTTTTATCATCGTTTTTCCCCAGTGGAATTTTGTGGGTTTGACAAAGATGTTTCTGTCTCCTGTGTGTGAATTTCATTTTTGTGGCAGGTAGCAGAGTAAAAAAATGGCTTCCGATAAGAAAGTTTTCCTCTACGAAGAAGTGGCAAAGCACAATCAGATCAAAGATTGTTGGCTTATCATATCTGGGAAGGTAAGTTGTTCTTATCATTTGATGTTCTCTATGATGGTTTTGTTTTCTGATTTGACTGACGTTGTGAGAAACGATCGGAAGTCTGGTAGTTGTCGATTATTCTTGCAAGTTGGTTATTCTGAAGATTTTCGCATGATGAATGCTTTGGACATGTACATGTTAAATTCTTTGTTGACTGATATATCCCTTATAAATTTCTGATTTTCTTTCACGTATGCTGGCTATAATGGCTACTTTAGTAGATTTGGTTATTGTTTGAATTTTTTATTCAATCCACCGCCTCTCTTTAAGCTAAAACTCAAGACTGGGATTTAAAATACTTCATTTGTCTCATTCGGTGGCGTTTAATCATATGATTTTCGAATACCGTGCATGTTTTATTTGTCTTTCCAGATTATGCGAGATTTAAGGTTTTTTTTTTTTTTTTTGGTTCATAGCTTGGACGTGATGATGTGTACCAAGATAGTTCTCCCCCACCCCCCCCTCCCAAAAAAAAAAAAAAGTTTCATTTGGCATTCTTGTTAAGTATTCCAGAATGAAATAGCATCTCTCACTTTAATTTGCTAAAATTTGTTATGGTTTTTATCTGCCACGGCAATTTCCTATTCTCAAAATTGACTGTAAGTTGGCATCTGTCTGTGTCATGACTCATGCTTGCATTAGATGCTAAACAAATAAGGCTCCTGTGCTGATATTTACTTCCTTACTCTTACGATATTAACTTTTCCATTGCTGCAGCATCTTCTTCTTCTTCTTCTTCTTCTTCTTCTTGATTTTACATGAACGAGCATAAAATAAAATTCTGTCTTTATTTGTACCTAGTTAATTGAAGGTTATAATAGATATTATTCAATAGCTTTCACCAGAATTTAAGCTTGAGTTTAAGTGGTTCTTAATAAGCCACAACATCTATTGCAGAGTATTCGAACAGTCAATCTGTTACTTAGAAAGTTTAAGTATTTCGCTTGAATCAGTCTACGACATGGTTCCCTGCCTTATAAAAACATTTTAACATGATATGCTGTAGAAGTACAATTACTTGTATCTTACAGAACATGCTAGTTTGATATGCATGTCTTTATCTTGCTTTAGAATCTCATTGTAGCATATTGAAATCAATAATAAAAGAGATGATTACTGACCTGGAAGTTATGTAATCCTGGCAAGGGCAAAATAATAATAAAGAAAAAAGGATGAAATGATAGCTCAAAAGTTTCATTCATCTGTGCTAACTGATTAAAAATCCTGGCTTATGGGAAGAATAAAATGGAATTATTAATGAGCAGCAGAGCAGGGTTGCACTTGCATTAGTTGCATATGTGTGTGGTTTCTTGTTACAACATGCTTTGACTAGATGAGAGGTGTAGTGACAACGCTTTTCCATGTTGGGCTTGGATTTTGTATTCTGGTTGTCTATGTCATTGTTTGATTACTGTACTGAGATGTTGCTGATTATATGCATTTGAACCTATTAGTTCTGTTGTGGCATTAATCATGTAAATTCATGGTGCCATTGCCCAGTGACAACCCATTTGCTTTATTTCGAACATTACCTGAGATGTTTGAAAAAGCTACTTAACGACATGTGTTATCGTGATCAGTTTATACAGTGGATCAAAGAGATTATACTGCTTGTATGATGTTAAACATTATCACTTAATTGTGTTTCTATGCTTTAATCATATTAGGTCTATGATGTTACCCTTTTTATGGAAGATCATCCTGGAGGTGATGATGTTCTGTTATCTTCCACAGGTATGCTTATCAATTACATAATCTACAGACGGTTGATAAACGTGCCATAAATCATCTTAGTAATTTTTCGTTGTCCACTTTACAATTGACAGGAAAAGACGCAACCAACGATTTTGAAGACGTGGGACACAGTGATTCAGCGAGAGAAATGATGGCAAAATACTGTATTGGAGAGATTGATGCATCAACCATTCCAAAGAAGCGCATGTACGTTCCACCTCAGCAACCTTCTTACAATCCCGACAAGACCAATGACTTTGTGGTCAAGATTCTGCAATTCCTTCTCCCTCTTCTGATATTGGGGTTAGCCTTTGCTGTCCGACATTACACCAAGAAAGATTAGAGAGACCCTTTTTGTTTAATTTGAACATTGGGAAGGTTTCCTTTGCTGTCTCCATTCGACCGTTTAAAAATTGGTGTTAGTTTCTTTGTGGCATGGTCATTGAAACTGGATCCTTGTTCATTTAGCAACTGTTTTCCATCTTTGGAACGCAGCCGTATTGGAAGTTAGTGACTCCAGGGAATCGTGATTTTCACTTATATTAAAAAAAAGTTACCTCTCTTTCCTATACAAAATCCAGAGAATTTAACATTTAGAACCTTAGTTATGTAAAATTTACTAACAAGGATTTTGTTTCTACTTGGTCTTTATATGAATAGATTTTTAAAAAATGTACAACTAAAGTCATGTTTGGTATGGTGAAAGAGATTTTAATAATAATAAAAATGAATGTAGAAGTGGAGATGGATATGAAAATGGAGGTGTGAGATTAAAAACATGTTTGGTGTGAATAATGAAAGTTATTTTAATGTTTAATTTATATATGCATCTAACATTTGTAAGTATTAAAATACTCTCATCCTGAGGGAATGATCCAAATCTTTATTAAAGGAGGTGGTTACGAGATTGAAGAGTTAGTGTTGGCAGTGATGAAGAGAGGACGTTGTTTTCACTAATGAAGGTGAAGCAACCGTGCGCCATCGATAGAGGAGTTTCTTGTTGTTCCGACGCTCGCTGGCCGTGGATGATGAGACAAGCTCGTCGGCGAAAATCTTAAAGTTTGATGGATGGCTTTGGACAAGATAGGGAGGGGTAAAACTGGAGAGTGAAACGTGGAATTTGAAATCTAGTTTTAACGTGGCAGCCAGTCCTGCCTATTTTGGTAAAACTGAAATTGGAAAATTCTTCAATTTCATCATACCAATTACCAAATAATCTTTTCTCAATCTCAATTCTTATTCCATATCCATGGCCTCCAATTCCATCACAGCAAACGGAGCCCTTTTTTTTTTTTTAAGAAAAAACAATTTTGGCGAGATTACTTGCGTATTACAAGTGAACAATTTATTTAGTCTTGTCAGTTGCTTGTTGAAGTTGAGGTTCGCATCTCTCGGATTTGAACTTGGAAAATATTGCCATGAATAGCAAACAAAAGAAACCTTTTCTTGATATCTTAACGTCCAACTACCGCATTGTTTTGAATTTTAATACTTAAGTTTTAACTTTAAAAAAATGATAATAAAATTTTTTTAAATTATATAAATGATAATTTAATTATTTAAAATGCCATAACACCAACAAAGTTTTAAAGATCTCTTTATCAATAATTTTTTTTAAAAAAGATTATTTTATCTTTATTGACAATAACAAAATTCAATTATAATTTTTATTTAAAAAATTATAACTTTTATTCTGTAAATCATAAAAATTAAATAAGAAATCATAACTTGTAAAATTTAATTTTTGTTATTGAAAAACAAGTTTCAATTACAACTTTTATTATGTGAATCACAAAATTAATCACTTGTCAAGTATAATTTTTATTATTGAAAAACAAATTCTCAAAATAATAAATTTATTCACAACTTTTATTTAAAAAATTACAACTTTTTAAAAAAATCGTAACAATGAAACAAAAAATCAAAATTTATCCATAAAAATAAAATGATCTTTTGCCAAAAAAGTCATTGATAAAGAAATTCATAAAAACTTCATTAATATTATAATATTTTAAGAAATTAAATTATCATTTATATATTTTTTAAAAAAATTATTATCATTTTTTCTTTAACCTATAAAAATCCCCAATATTTTTCCAAAAAAAAAAGTACTTTCTAATAGAATATATATAAACTATAATTACCTATTAATGTTTTTCGCAAGTATAGGAGTAAAATATCTCATACCAATCCAATATATATAAGCTACAATTAGTGTTCTTTAAGTAGATCAAATGCTACTATCACTAATTTTTAATAATAAATTTCTACACCCTCTCTACATAAATTTTTTATTTTTTCAACTATCTTAGTATAGAGCTTCATTTTAAAAAAAAACAAAATTTATATACTTAACTTCATATACTTAATATATTTCATCCAATCAAGTTATGATATGTGAATTTCAATGTATAATATTAATAACAATTTGTTATAAAATAAAATAATCTATTAAAATTATAGATGTCATAATTTAATTAAAAAAAATATTTTAAGTACATAAAATTAAGTGTGTAAGTTTGTTTTTTTTTTTTTCAAGGAAAATGTTCGTTTGATGTGAAGTTGGCTTCCAGAGTTCAAGCACAAAATCGCTTCAAGGTGAATGGGGTCTGGGGCAGTTTGCACGTGCACCCAACAACGTTACCATTTTAATTTTCAAGGCCAATATCTCCCAGAATCAGGGGGGCACTTCGAACATACTAGAGTTATGTTTTGTCGACTATTAAAAACTCAAATGCCAACAGAACAGGAAATGCCATTAACTCCAGTGACATCCCCATTCAGTCTTTATACCCCAGTGGCCTCTAAAGATCCAAATGATATGCAATATAATCAGAGCTCAAGCTCAAGCACCAGAGCTCCACAACCTCAAAGACATCACATATCGCAAAATGGTATTCTCAACCTTGTGATGGTTGCATCCCCCTCCTACCCACCTGCTTCTTGCATCGGTGCTCCAGAGAGTCCCCAGACCTTCGTCTGAAAACAGAATTCTAAGGAAAGGAAAAACAATGGAGAAAAGTTGGGAAAAAAAAACATACATCTAACTAACTTCCACCCCCATTAGCCCCACCGTTACGGCATCTGAACCTTGAATATGTATGCGACAGCTAGTTAAAGCAGCGGAGCTCAAAGTTAAATAATCTGCAATGCTTATTTTTTCTTCCAGAGGAGAGACCTCGCAGACTGAATAAATAAATAAGATCTCTGAAAAATGTTGTAAACCATTTTCAATGATCAACCAAGAGCAGTCACCGGAATGATGTCTCTATTTTGTCATTAAGGGTCACCACCAAGTTATGCGCATCATCTAGCAGTTTCCAAATATCTAATTGTCCCGCCATGCCATTGCATTCCCTGATGATCTCATCCATGCTGCTATATCTCTCAATAATCAGTTTCCTCCTCTGCAATACTGAAGCTGCTATTGCATAAAGCAATAAATCATCTGTTGGTGGAGCACGCTGCCTTATTCTGCTCCATGCGGACTTCCCAATACCTGCCCTAATTGCTGCTTGGTCTGCCCACATCACTTCCCAGAGGCAGAGAGTCTGTTCAAACGTCAATTCCCTTCTGAACAATACCACCACCATCCTATAAACAAAAAAACAGTCCTCGGCCTGGAGCTTCTCCAAGTGCCTATATAGGTGGGAGTCCTTAAACTTGATAATTTTAGCAACAATATTAAGCTGCCTCCTTATACCTACTTCATCAAGTCTAAAATTCTGCCGTGCCTTTTTCATGAATCCAACAAAACACCAGAAAGCCAAGTGATCCTCAGATATAACAGTTATTATAGGAGACAACAGATCACTCATACCTTGGCAATAGCCAATCTCAGGGTCATATAGTGCATATGCCTCAAGGATAGCAACTAGTCGAGCAGCATGGAATACTCTGCAGGGCTCTAGGTGACCATAATCCTTCAAGCCAACCACCTCAGCAGATCGCCGTGCCCTGCCCTCTGATACCACAGCCTGAGAGGGGGAGTAAGGCAGCCATTCTGCATTGGCACGCACTGCATCAAGTCGAATGATACGCTGCCATGTTGCAAAATCTTCCTTAGTTTTAAGTTTTGATGAGGCCTCCATTTGGGATGAAGAATCCTCCTTGGAAACTGTCTTGGGAACATTCTCCTCCTGGCCATTCCCAGAGGGGAAATTCTGGATTATTTCAGGACTTTCTGATGAATCTGAATCAGAAGAATCAGTATCCAGTGCAGAGGTAGCAGCATTGTTGACATTAGAAATATCGTCTCCTTCAATCAATGCACTGGATGGATCATCGGAGTCCTCAACATCAGGGCTCCTCTCCTCACTAGAAAGGGATTCCCTGGCACTGGCAACATCTTCAGAACTAAGAGAACCAGAATCTTGAATGACAACCCCACTATCTCCATCACTGCTAGCCCCACCAATATCATCTAACTTGAAGCTCCCATTGTTCTCCTTCAGAAACTTCTGGCATTGCCTGCGGATTTTCTCATACTGCTTTCTGTGTTTAAAGTTTTGGAATTAATACCATGCAAAATTAAACCAGGGGGGGCAAGAAGAAAACATAATGAGCTGCAAGAGTGGCAAGCTCATACAAGCCAAGCAGAAAAGAATTATATAACACATTTAGAGACCAAATTTGTATGCCTACCTATTTTGATTTATTATAACATCTCTTTCTTCTTTAGTGCTGTCCAAGCCATAGCTGTTCCAACGAATAAATAATCAGCAACCATATAGAAGTTTGTCTGATCAAATTAATTCATTTAGAAAAGAACATGAAATAGAGAGTAAACCGCTCCAATAATCCAAATCTAGGGAAAGAGTAATCAATATCCACCCAAACACGTAATACATGGAGAAAAAGCACCAAAAGTGAGCAACTATACAGCAAACATGTTTGATTGATTTCAAGTATACAAGTATAGACACAGTGATGGCCATTAGAAATGAAACTAGGAAGAAAGCATACTTACACTCCAAGAAGAAATGGCCAAACTTCAGCCCTAACAGTGGGATCAACACCCTGCAAAACCATTTTGATTAACTCCAAATGGTAAAACAGAAACATAGAAACATAAGTTCAACGTCAAGACAAACAGAAAAGTAAACTTACTCCACTGCGAACTCTTTTCAAGAACTTAGCTCCACCATCACGAAGTCTTCCATCTTGTGTAAACAAGTTTTTCCACTGCTGAGGTGAAAGTGCATGTTTTCTTTTCCTGCGTGACCATGGTGATTTGAGGCGACCTCTGAAAATTTCCAAGAAACAATCACCAATTACTTCCTACCCATGTACAAGGGAGCTTGAAAATAGACAATAAACAGCCAACAATGACAGAAAAGAAACATCAGAAGGTATGAAAAAGCCGACATAAAAATCTCTTCCTTACATATTAAAAGTAATTAGCATTACACAATGATAATTGTCAGATTTTCACACATCATTTTGTAAAATATTTTATTCCTATTTCCGAAGTGTTAGAGCACCTAATGCATAAAACCAGATGCGCTCAATAATAAGTCGTTTCTCTTTGTATTGTTCTACTTCAATTTGTAAGCCACTCAGCTAGACTTAAGAAATCAAGATGGATGGTTACAACCGCATGATTACAGAATGACCACTATTCATTTCATTTAAGTTTTAGTTGATTGATGGACAGATTCCATTTTGATAAGGGGCGACCCTACCAATTTTTAACCAGAAAGTTGAAGAGAATACGAGAGATAAAAGGAGGAAAAGCCAAAAACTTGAAGTTCTTGAACCACAAAGCCATAAACTTGAAGTTCTTGAACCACAGATCGACATCCATCATAAATTTGCATCCTAGACGCACAATCTAGCATCCTAGACGCTGCGGACCATTTGACAGGCCAACAATATCGTCCCCATAATGAAGTTAAAATGTGTCCAAGACATTCACCAGCGCTATCCTGCCAGCTGATTCGTACACAAGCCATAGATTTGACAGACGAATGGGAGAAGGCTATGAAATTAAAGGAAATAAGAAAGGCTCCAACTCAAATTTTCCATATAATACAGTCAACCGAAATACCTTTCTCCCTCACCCTCTCTCTTCTCTGCCTAATTATGCACCTGAATGGGGGATGGGGGGGGGGGGAAGCATCGTGAATCTGACAAATCAGCAATTATACCAGCATAATAAGACCAGCGTAACACAGCATCAAGTATCAGAGAGTTGAGGATAGAACGAAATGCTGCAAGGCAAAGGCAGAATACTAAGAATATGGAAGTCGAAGCACAAAAGCAGTAGATACATGCTGATTCAGCTTAGCTAACCCGGGTAGTAAGGTTTGGGATACTTAGAGATGGAGATCTGTCCCGGAACAAACGGAAGCTAAATAGAAATCTGAGCTCAAAAAAATCTTAGCTTTGAAAATAGGGAAAAAAAACGAGAGCAAAAGGAGAGAAGAACTCACCGATCAGAGGGAGAACAAGAAGAAGCTGGTGAGGAAGAAGTAACAACGAATAGAACCGAACGCAAATGGATCCACGATGAAGATGATGATGGCGACGACGATGAAGAAGGAGAGGAATTTGAAGACGACGAAGATGAATTGTGACTTCTTCTAAGGGGATTCATCTATGTACTCCTTATATACAAAACTTTCTAGAGGAACAGAACCGGAATAGAAAACAATATCATCTATGCCAGACCGAACGTGTCTAGGGTTTTTCGAAGCTCTAATGCTCTCTTCATGAGATTTTTGTTTTTATTCAGTTCATCAGTTTTTTACCTACTGGCACCGTAGAAAATCACAGCGACGAGAACCACCCCAGCCAAGGCCGTGACCACCACCGCCGAGGCGGAGGGCGTGATCGGCGCTGCCATTAACCAGAAACTGCGGCCACCGCCGACAGAGATGATGGGAGCGTCACTGTTGGTGTCCAAATGAGCGGATGCGAACATGGAGGAGGAGGTCGAAATTACTATAATGCCCTTCTTTCTCCTCGTCGTTCTTCCTCTTCTTCAACCAGCGGAGCTTTCTTCAGCTTTTACTGTTTATTACCAAGCAAACCCGGAAGCCAGCAAACTTGTGGTTTCTTGTGCTCTCCCACTATGATTTTGTAACACGATAAAAAATATTTGGCGCTGCCAGCTGAGAGGGAATGAGGGAAAGCACTGAATTAGAAGACCGGGCAAGATTCTCAGCTTTTGGAGAGCTTTGCTTCGTGCTTTTACCCTACTCCCACACCGCCAAGTTCACCGGACTGATACGACGTCGCTTGCCTGTTACAAAAAAAAGTACAATTAGCCTTCCTCGTTCTCAACATTCTACAATTCTATTCCATCATTAAACCATCCAACCACGGCTCTCCTCCGTCAGTCCGTATATAGTGCATTGACCGGTTTTCCAGAGTTTCTCCTTTTTTTTCCCTCCCAAAAAAATAAATAAAAAATAAAAAAAAGTGTACATATATTTTTCTGGCCAAAAAAGTGTACATATATGATCAGGTTAAACTATGTATAGTTGTATACTATTTGATTGGTAAAATACAATAATCTTTAATTAATATAAAATATACAAATTTAAACAAACCATTCAGCTTGTAACAATATGGCTCAATTTTAGGACTCCATGCCATATATAAGGCTTGAATTATACCTAGTTACCTAGTCCGTACAATATTATTGACGAAATTGCCATATTATATAAAATATTTCTTGACTTGGATTATATGCGATATTATTAATACAAAAAACATGGATATAAATTGTTAATACGCATGCAAGTTATTATAAATTTTCTTCATGTTTACAAACTTTGTCTTATATTTATACACACACATTTATACATATATATCTGTAAAAGCCGACTTTGCTAGCATGGCACAAAAGAATGGCATAACATATTAACGTAAGCTAACACGACACGCTGCAAATTCCAATTTCAATCTTAGTTCTGTGATAAATTTCTTAATTGATATGAAAAGTAATATCCCATACCTGATGCTATTGAATAATTTGGAATTAAAACACGAATCTATACTAAAATACAACCAATCAATTTAAACATTTTTTAATCGAGAAATTGACTAATTATGATTTAGGTCAATTTTTATTTTAATAAATAGTCTTGGGAGTAAATATTGACTGCGTGATTCCATTACAAACGACACTTTTTTTTTTCAAAGTTATGACTTGTGGGTCCGTAACAATATACTATTAAACGATGTTTTATAGACCAGGGAGATTGTGGCCAAAAAAGAGAAAAGAAAAGAAAAATACAGAGAGGCCAAGAGACATGATAAATTTGATGTGCCTTTTACAACAATATCGTTAAAGAATAACAATTGGCGAGGACACATTCCACGACCTGCAAGACAATGAAGCGGCGAAGCAAGATAAGGCCAGTGATTGAAAACTGAAAAAGATTTGGATCTTTAAACAATGGAAGTGCAAAGTGATGATAAAAAAAAAAAATGCAATCTACGATGGGTGAAAGAGCATTGATGTGGTATTCATTGTCTTAGTGATCACGAACATACATACATCTTGCAATGAGAAAAATAGTTAAGAACTTAATTATTCAAATAAATAGAGAGAATTAAAAGAGGAACCAAAACAGAACTAACTATCGTTTTAATCTTTCTCAGGATCACGATTATAAATGACAAACGTACAAGATCAAAGGCCAAATCAATCCTTTTCCCAACTAGAAGAAAAAAAAAGTTTTTTTTATTTTTGGGGGTGGTTTTCCAAGGAGCCACGTTATTATACATGTCTCTGTGAGGGTCAAAAGCTGATATGAGACTAGTTTGAATTTATTTTGTCTATATGCATGGAGCCATCTTCTTTCCAATTAAAAACTTGTCGGTTTATTACTGGGTGTCACATCTAGTCGAGTATAAAAATAGGCATTTTGCTTGTTGGCATTAATCCCGACCCAATAGATGGTAAAAATACAGTCAAAATGGATTGATCATGGCAAGACAATAAGAAATCCAAGCCTAGCTTTGCACATATGCGGTGAAAATGGGACTAAAAAACTACCAAGTTCCATATTGTCTAATCAGGCTTTAACCCACTCCTATAATAGTATTATTCCTGCAATTAACCAATTGTTTAATTTGGGGATTTTTGAGGCTTTTCCAGAAGTGACATGCATTTGTGGGATTCTTTGAACCACCAAGTCATTAAACTTGTTGATTAAATTACTTTAAAAAAGAAAAGATATAATTTACACAAAGAAAACTTCAACTCTGGCCTGTTGATATAACAACAGCAAACGAGCAACTAACCTAATCTTGTGTGAGCATGTACTTAAAAGCATTAGTCAACAAAAACAGGCGCTTCAAAAAAGAGAGAGAATGACGCTAGATAAAAAAGTGGAACTCGTGTTCGAGAGCCCTTCACATGCAGTGTCATCTATCTTGTCTTTGATCTGGTGGTAACGTGTTGTTATCTTACCGTCTATACATGCGAATGATTCTGTTTTTCTTTTTGGGTCAACTAATATTCCCTTGGTTTAACTTAAGCTCCATACATATGCCACAAAAGAAAGAACCATTATTGGTTTTCTTCTTCTTGCCCCTTTAAAGTGGACTGATTACAGGAGAGGATATGGATCGGGTATATTTTTGTTGTTCACATTCTTATGGGGCTCCCATGGGGAACACTTTTCAGCGACTTGAATTTCTAAATTAACGAGAAATTAAAGACAAGTGGGGTGTTGGTGCTTGGCTTTCACATCAACTGCCACTTTAAGATCCAACAAGGGCAACTTATGAATATTGGTCTGTACATTTTATCAAACACGTGCATCATAGGTTGCAGTGATTCTGGCCTTTCGTTTGTGTTTCTTCGAACCTGAACCCTTCAACACAATCATTATCATGAAGGCAACTTTAAATACAACATGCATTACTTTTCTCGGTGCACAAATCTTTAGAAAGAGTATTAAGTTATTAACCCTTTCCTTCTAGCTAGAACATTGATCCTTCAGAAAAGCATACCAATCGAATCATTGGCATGCAAGGAATAATGGATAACGAAGAAAATAGCTTGCAGAAACAAATTTAAATAATGGTTTAAGTGATGCCCATGTGTTGAACTTTTTGCATATTTTCATGCAATGTAGGTCCTTGTCGTGATCTATCACAATGATGAAAGAAATATCAGAGAGAATGAACCTTGTATCCAAAGAAAGTTGTGTCTTTTGCGGGATAAGGACAACACCACCATGCCGTGTTATTTTAAAGAACCGCCTCAATAATGTTAAGTGATTGTCGTCAAATCTGCTTATGATGAAGTGCTTCTTTTCGTGCTTTATCAATTCTAACAATTGATTGGGACTCACCCTGCTTGAGCATTTTTAATATTAATTGGATTATATCATAATAAAACACCTCTGAATGTAACTTTATAAACTCAATAAATTCGGGAGAAGCAAAAAAAAAGGTACATTTTACGTTAAGCATTATGTCTATCACGTAACAAACACGATCTTACTGTACCCACTATCCGGCATTTAATTTTGATTGCATATTAGATGAAAAACTAATTTGAGGAAATCGATGTAGGTTCAAGAGGCAAAGCAGGCAAAACAAGGGAGAGGAAAATGACACAAAAGCAGTGCCATTTAAATAACATCACATAAACGTAAAAGCACAATCATTCCCCCCCAATTGACAGTTTGGCCCCTTGCTTAATTGCAAGTGGATGTTCTTTGGAGTGGTTCTTAGGCAAGGGATTGAACCTTAAATGAAAGCCAATTTGCCAACAGTCACTGCCTAGGGCATGCGCCTAACAGGCCCCATATTCTCCATAAATTTTATTCGTCAAAATGAACTGGGAAAAGGTTGGTATCCAAACGATCTATTTCTATCGATCTCCTCTTAACTTTTAGACTATAAATTAAATTTATTCTCAATTTTAAAGGGATCTAAGTTCTCAAGAAATAAACGGATCCATGCAAAACCCACAAGACAGCCGGTTAAGAAAAGGAACAGAACAAACCCGACTCACATATGTCCGAGACAATGCTAAGTAAGTAGGAATCCTCCATAGCCCCAAGATTTGTTAAAATTAAAGGCTCTGAATCTAATGAATACTTCAGTCTTTATCACTTGAGTAATACTCCTGGCAGTGTTAAAATCATCATCACGCAGGGTTGGTTAATTTCCTTAGACATAGCTTAACAAGATGTCTGTTGTATGAAGATACTGTATTTATTATTTGTCAGCTTGACCCTCCCATTAATTATATGGAGAGGTTGCAATATAGATCTCGTCTATGTTGAAACTAAGACCAAGTTACAGAGACAGAGTGAAATTTATTTCCACGCAGATGCATAGCACCTTTCTGGCTTTTCTAATGAGAACCAATTATATTGCACCTTTCCTCATTAGGAACCAGTTCAACGTTCACAGAGCAAGTGAGATCAGAAATTTACGTAAATTAACAAGGCAAATGTACTCGATCGAGTTTAATTACATCCTAAATGAGTAATGCGATCCATTATTATATTGTTTTCATTATTGCATATGCTTGTTACTCAAGATGTGAAGCTAAGCTAGGATGGACAGCAAATGAGGCATGTGGGTCCTACTCCTTGAAGAGCTTTGAAGCGGCTCCTTTGTCCAAGTACCACTTGATCTCCCGTCTTTTTGGTGAGACCAGTTGAATGGGGCAACTTCTCTGGCTTCTCCTCATCATCTTCAAGTGCAGCCCTAATGGCGTTAGCCTTGCCAGTGCCCACCACCACCATGGATATGTTTGACGCAGAATTGATGATGGGTAGGGTGTAAGTGATTCTCTACGGTGGCGGATTTAGGGAGTCGGTGTGGTAGGACACCGATTTCTGATCCTCCTAGAGAAGTCGATGCCCCGGGAACAGAGACGCCATATGGCCATCAGGGCCCATGCCCAAAAGCATCAGCTCATGCCTCAGAAACCCCTCCTCCAACGAACCTATCACGTTGCTCTTCACCAACCGTCTAAGATTGGTCTCCCAAACATCCGCCGCTCCATCTGGCGACAACACGTCGTCGATGGCATATAATTGAGCCCTAGGAATTGGCACCTCCAAAGTCCCAACACCATACATTTCAATTAAATAGCAACAAAATTATCAAATCACATTTTGTCAAAGCTGCACGTAATATTAATATACCTTGGAGATGAATCCGTCGTAAGTGAGCTTGTAGTTACTTTCCAAGTGACTCCTGGGCACAACTCTCTGATCTACCCAAAACACGTGCTACTGGGACCAATCAATGGATTCCACGTATGGAGCTTCAATCAATTTCCTGAAATTCTCACAGAAAATAAAGCTAATTTATGA